CAGCGATAGGTTCGCTAACGCACCTGCACAATAACATAGAGTCTCCAAGTCATTTTTTCGACACTTAAATAGCATAGCGTCCAAACCACCAAGCCTGATGACGTCGCTGCAGGTGCCCTCGCTGCTTGAACAAATGCTCGAGTATCCCGATACCGACGCGCGTGATCCACCGAATTGGCGTTCTTCGTGCATACACATGCGACATTCACCACCTTCTCCAAGCCGTTTTCCACCACATGAGCGCCTCCGTAGTCAAGCATTGCTCCAATAACCTGGCCGATGAGAACTGCAATTCGTGATCATTCGCTACGCAATTTGACATGAGATCAAGACCGCCGCGCGTCCTTAGAATGTTGCACATAATCCAACTCATGGCCATGTGTAGGCACTGCCTAAGCCTTCCGGATGATCTCATTCAACAGTTGTGGCGCTTTGCTGCCGCTGCTACTGCTCTTGCACTGTCGGCGCTCAACTTTAACTGCTCCACGAAGCTGTCGAGCAGGCTGCAATACTTGACGATGGCACAATCCGCGTCTTGCGGATTTGACTTGGAACAAAATAGATCCAAATCATCCAACAGTAAGGACAAAAGCTCATCCTCAGCAGTCGGTAGTCGCATGCCGTTTATCAGTTGATTAACCGCACTCACAGTGCACTGATCATAGATTTGAATGAACTTACGCCCGACTTGAACGCAATCGTGATGCTCGATTGTGAGCTCGAAGCCATGTGCTTCTCGTGGTTGAAAATGCCGGTCGAGGTGACTGTCGCTGCTGTTACGCTGCATCGTTTTCTGCACAGTACGAAAACATTATCCGTTCATCAGTTTTGAAATTTTGAGAAAGTTCATCAAGGATATTGTTAAAGAGAAAAAAACTTGAGAATACCGAGTTTGACAAGCATTAGGAACTCGGATTGCCAATGAATGAGAAATAGATGAACTTCAAATGCTTTAAAGGATGTTTTTCTGATTGATCTTACGATCATTAGGAATTTAATGTAAAATAGATAAAAAAATGGAGAAGGTTATCGAAAACATTGGTTTCTCATTCATCGTTATTAAAAAAAATATTAGAAATCAGATTTATAAGTACATGTTTATTCTTAAAAATACAGAAAGATATTTGCTTAATTAAGTTTTCAGCGCAAGCAAGAATTTTTATATTTTTAAATTAAAATAAATCTATAACAATGTTTTTTTATTTCAAAATAAATTTTTACTAAATAAAATTATGTTATTATTTTCTTCAGTTTATAAATTTATTATAAATTTTACACTTTGTTTACCATTCGTGAGGCTGCACTTCCTTAGCATCATCTTGAACGATTTGATGAGTATGATTTCGATGTTTTACACTTCTCGAATCATGCAAGTCCACTTTTCGATTGGGGTCTAACTGTGAGCTCGTCGGCGTTTAAATCGCTCGTTGCATCGCTTCTACGTTAAACAGCGATGCAATCTCAAGTCCCAAAAAGCAGCGCAGCCGCCGGCCGCGGTTTTTTAACATTAAGAATGGCGATTTACGATTTCGACTATCGGTTCGCGGACATTTTAACGCGCGTTCCTTGGTGAACCGCCAGAAGCGCAAATATAAACCGGGAAAATTATACGCTCCGCGTTTTTTCACAAAGCGATGCACCACGACTATTTCATCAAGATATTCGATTATCCGAAGAGAGTTTTATAGTTTTCCATATTCTTCCTAACAAAGTTTTCATAAAAAAATAAATTCTATTTAAAATAATTTCGATTTAGCGTTTAGAGGCCATATTCGAGCCGAAAGTGGCCGGATTTACCGTTTAGGGGCCATATTCGGAATTGATGAAGAATAGCAAAAACTTAACATTCTCCTTTTTGAGATACTCTGTTATTATCTTACATAGATAAGAAATAAAGTGTTATAAAGAACAGGTATATTATACATTTATCTCTATATATATTAGGTGTAGTAAAAAGAAATCCATTATTTTTTCATTCAATTTCATGCAAAAATAATAATGGATTTCTTTTTACTACACCTAATACATCTATTAATACATTATCTATTTTTCTACTTAACACGAGATATTATTAAATACTTCCTTTTTAGGTTTCTATATCAATGTCAGATATTTATATACATCATATCCACATTTTACATTAATATATTATAAAACCATTAGTACATTATAAAAATGGATAATAAATACGATATATGATCATAGCAACATAAAAATATATTATACATGCAATAAAAAAGAATACAATTTTGTTAAAGACTCATGTCGTTAGTCTCATTGGAGAAGGCAGAATCGCTGGATGGTCTAGGAGGCATGGTAGAGTAAGGCCGTCCTATCTTTGACGGTGGTCTTAGTCCTGATGGTTTTGACTCCGCCGTGCTCTATATATTCACTATGTTACACTGCACTGCAACAAAAATATTATGCATTGTAGTAAAAAATGATACATTTAGTAAAAAATGATACATTTAAAAAATCCTGAAAAATAAGAAATTAATTTGATTAATTTCTTTTGATTAATTAATTCTATTTGAAATTCTATTTGAATTAATTCTATTTGAATTAATTCTATTTGAAAAATAGAGCTATGAACGAAAAAAGAGATGGCATTAGCAATATATAGGATGTAAATTAATTATTTTTTTACTAGTATTTTATTCGGCATATTCTTATAATTAACTACATTTTGAAGTAAAAAATACTACAGTCTTTAAGTTAGAGTGAAATCGAACTTAGATAAACTTTGACAAGGAAAATTTGAAGCATTGATTATGGCTATTTTCTTTTTAAGAAACAAAATATTCTATTTTTTTTATTCATTGAATGGAGAAAGATAGAACAATGTTTATGTCGACTGTATCTTCTAAAAGATAAACAGCCTAAATGCCTGAGTTTTGCGAAGTAAATCAATTCAAAAATTTATGATTTTTCAAACTAAGATCGTGTCGTCGCCAATTTCTCACGTTCCCTTGGACAAAATTGCGCGAGCGATCGCGAGTACTCACGAGTACATGCTATAATATATGTATTCGCGAATATACGCGAGTATCAATACTATCAGATCGACGAGTGACAACACCTACCTTACCGCGTACCTTCTTCAACAGGTTCAACGAGTTCGTATCCGTGCACAAAACGCAAAATATGAAAATCGCAGAGGTGCGTTCTTTTCTTCACTGGTATACTGGAACTTTCGTTGGATTATTCTAAAACCATATATTTTGCAACGTTATAAACGGTTGATCTCGGGTATCCAAAGAACCGAATATTCACTGAGCGCTCAGTCTTTGATGATCGCGATTATATTCCGCACTTGGTTTCAACATCGCGGCTATTTTGAGAATATGACTATTTATTAGAAGCATCAAGCTTTCTCAGATGCCAACAACAATCTCTGGCGAAGACGTAATATAGCGAAAAATTTAAATTGAAATTTGTGCGGATTTTAGTAACGCACCCTGTATACACATATATGATTGTACAACTTAATGGTTTTTAGTGTATATTTCTTGTTACATTTATTACTTATTTATTTCTATTACTTGCTTCTTAGTATATTTTTCTTATTACAATATATATTATTGATTACTTATTTCTATACATCTTTACATTATATTTATATTTTTTAACAGAAACAATAATTATACTCTGTATATATTACCAGAGGAATACATTGTTACCGACACCAACATTTTAATTACAATATTTACTACATACTAAGCGAAATTATTGACAACGTTAATACTACGATTGAGAGCGAAGTATAATTTTTATATATTTTTTCTTCGTAATAATCGTTTCACCGTTATTTTGATTAACATTGATAATGATCCAATAGAAATCGAAATATTTGTTTTTGTTTTGTTTGTTTATTGCCAGCAAATTAAAGTTTTATATTTTTAAATGACATGCTTATTTACTACCGTTTTCCATTTTTATTTTATACCGAGTAACCTTAAACTTGTAGCCTTTTCCTTTTCATTTTTTAATTTTATTGAGTCTTATTATAGTCTAAGTATTTATTATTATAATGATATGCGTATCATTAAAAGAGGAAGCATAGAAATTTTTAATGGGAAATAGAGAGCTCCTCTTTTTGTTTTATACACACACACACACACACACACACACACACACACACACACAC